TGGTGTTTTGGTCAGCAGCTGCATTTCCTTGTGTCCTAGGTTGTGCTGCTCTTGACTTCTTCTTTGGAGGTTCTGGTGGCTTCATTGGATTCTTGCAGGTCCTTTTGTTGTGACCATCTTTTCCACAGTTGGTGTAAGTGATCACAAGGCTGTGTCGAGTAGCAATTTCCCCATTTCCATCTCTAGAAGGTTTCCTAGTTACCTCCCATGTCTCCCTCTTCCGCTTAGTTTTTGGACGTCCAGGCATCCGACGAATTTGTGGTGGATACACCTTGTATCCTGCCACTGGAAGCCATGCTTGTCGACCCTCTGATGGTGGGATAGGGTGCATGTAGGCACATTTTACTCGATTCATAAATAAGTACTAATCCACAAAATCCTCCGGATGCCCTCTCAAGTAAGTTATGGAAGCAAAGGCATGGCAGCATGGTATTCCATTCAGCAACCAGAAACCACATGTTCAGCTACCCTTCTTGATATTAACCACAAAACCTTTGTCTCCTATGGTTATCTCATGCTTATCTTCTGTAGAAGGGAGGCTGGTGCACATTCGAGCCAAATGCTTTTCCTTCTCTAGTTTTCCCCTAAACACTGGTGGAAATTTATCCCTCCAACGCTCCATCATTCTTCCGTTCTTGACAATTCGTGTCATTACAGCCACTCGGATACCCTCCAACATTGCAATTGGTCTCAATGACCTAAACCGCAAGATCCAGTTGTTGAAAGACTCACAAATGTTGCTTTCTACTGAGTCACTCTTGGAGAATGTCTGCATGAAAACTCTACAGAACCTTGCTGGTTCCATGGCCATGAAGTCTGTATCAGCACCCTCTCCAAGTTCCTTCAATTTATCAACAGCAGCCCTCCAATCAGGTTCATTTAATGCATGGACCGCCTCCTAGTATAGATCAGAAGCTATAGCTGACTTGTGTTTTTCTCTGAAGTGCGCGTGGACATGACGAGCACACTTTCGATGTTCTGCAGAAGGCATACAGTCATTTAGCGCTTCCACCAGCCCCTGCAAGATCCACAAGTAAACACATAAAGTCAATTGCAGAATTATAACAAATCAATGTATATTAACCAAGTAGGAATGCATACCTTTTGTTGGTCAGAGACTACTATCCAACCGCCACCATCCTCGATCCGAAGTAGCTCTTGCAATGCTTTAATGAACCAGGTCCATGAACTTTTGTTCTCCGATTCAACGATTGCCCATGCTATTGGGAACATATGATTGTTACCGTCCTTTCCAACTGCCGACAGTAACATCCCTTGTACTTCCCCTTTCAAGAAACAACCATCCAAACAAAAGAAAGGCCTGCACCCTTCCAAGAACCCCCTTGCCAAACTAGAGAAACCAATGAACAAACGCTTGAAATATACCTTCTCGGAGTTAGGCACAGAATCAACCTCGAGCAGAAATGACCCTCTACGGTCAACTCGCAGCAAATGACCAATATAGTCTCTGAGTTTGTGGAAATCCTCAGTAAGCGAACCATAAAGCAGTCTTCGAGCCTCGAGCCGTGCCTTATAACATGTTTGGTTAGACACGTAGAGATTGTGTTTGGTCTTCAATTCAGCTGCTATTAAGTTAACATTCCATGCTTGATTAAAACGGAAAACGTCCAGGTACTCAGATGCAATCCACTTATAACCCGCCGCACGAATCCGAATTGCTCGAGGGCAAATATGATCTGGCCCAGAATATTTAACCATGAATGCTTCTTTTCCATGAAACCAACTACCATAAACCTTCCACATGCAACCATACTCTTCCCTTTGTGCACACACAGCTTCCTTCCTCGTCGCACTGCTCCTAACCAATCTAATATCAGCTCCCATATTAATTGCATTCTTCATAACATCAGCTTTAAATTGATTACCATCTAAAAACCGCATATGTGTTTTGAACTTCAAAGTGTTATGATCACACTTGGGATCATAACAAAAGCTCTTGTCGAAGCTTGTAGCACCATCATCTTCAGCTATGTTCCCTCTAACATGGGCAGAATCCTCAGAGGCCCTATACTCCGTATCAACTGATCCTTCGACATTGATCTCCTCCTCCACGTTCACTTGTTCTGCACCCCTTTCAATACCCTCATCAATCTCCACACTCTCATCAAATTCCAAACTCTCATCAAGCTCCACAGTTTCAGTTTCAGCTTCAGCTCCACCCTCAATACTAGCACTATCCAAAGCAAAGTCAGCATGATGGTTGACACCCCACGCAAACAATTGATTCACTGAACTACCTTCACCATCAAGATCTGCTATCATTCTTCTATTCCTTCTCCTAGCATCAGCTCTTATCTCGTGGTATTCCTCGTCGGATGTCTGAGCATCATCATCCTCTAGCCGAACAAACTCAGGTGCGGCTGAATTGTCTACAAATGCATCTTCCCCTTCAGGAAAATGGCCATAATTGTCTCCCATATAACCCAGCTCTCCGAGATCCCTTGTTGCCTCAAAGTACACCTTTATATCTCCAGTTCCAACCAAAGGCAGCAACCTAGTTAAAACCTCCACATCCGACACAATTTCATGCAATCCTGTCGCCATACTTTCCCCAGGTGTCAAGTACCGTAGCCTCTCGACGGAAATATATTCCAAATCTTCAATCAAAGTCTTCGTCAATTCGAAGTAGGACAAGACATCACGATTCACATTGACGACATCGACAACCCCCCCAACGTACTGTGGAACACCCCCCCGACATATCCATCGCGCCTCCATGATGCAGAATAAGCTCAACCATGTCGTCCATTCTAGCAAAGACAAAAAAAAATGATACGAGATTACTTTAATCTCTATTTCCATTACTTTAATCTCAATTTCCATTACTTTAATCTCAATTTCCAGCTCTTAACCCGACAAATGCTGGTCACGAGCATTAGTTTACTAGAAAATCCTAATCCTTGGATTTTATCGAGGATTAAAAAAAGATTGGAAATGGAGAGAAGAAAGGGATTGATTGCGTACGTTGCTAGTGGGGAATGCGATCTGTTGGCTGTGGTCCCTTTGGAATGTGGACCCGTCGTCGTCCTTTTCACCAAGTCGTTATCGATGCACAGAGAGAAGCAGAAATCGCGAGAAATCGCGAGGGAGCAAAAATCGCGAGGGAGCAGAAATCGCGATGGAGGAGGGGAAAATCTTCGCGAGGTAAAAGGGAGAAGGGTGAAATCGATGGCGGCGGCGGCGGGCTCAGAAGAACGCCCGCCGCTGCATTTTTTAGTCGGTCAGGTGAGGAGATTCGACGATGAAGCAAGGAGAAGGTGAGGTCGGCGGGTGAATTCTGTGGATGGGGATGGGAGCGATATGGATAAGGTAGGGTTAGGGCAGGTCCTGCGTTTTGGAGATTTTTTTTTTCCGTCTTCAAATTGAGAAAGGAAATAAAATAGATTAGGTGGAAATTAATATTTTTTTTAATTTAAAATTGCTGAGTTGGCGGTGACATGGCGCGTTGACTAACGGTCAACGCGTTTGACCGTCCAAGTTAACGGTAAAAAGTCTGATCTGGCCAAATTGTTTATTTTGGTGTATAGTTCGGGCCAGAATGTTATAGATCGAAAAGATTGGCCTGGATGTTTACTTTGGTCAAAGTTCAGGCTATACGAAAATATTAACCCTAAAAAAATACCAATATGACACTTAATCAATATAGGATCGGTTAATCTATAAAATGCATAAAACAGATTCATAGATTGGATTTCTTCCATTTTGAATTTGCTGCTTCCTCATTAATTCCCAAAAGGATGTTATAGTCATTTCACAACGACACAATTAAATAGCTTGGTGCGTTTAGGCTAGAAAGAACCTGCATGATATTTAGCTTTTAGTTTATTGAAATACTTGACTTATGCCCCCTTATGAAGTGAATTAGGAACTTACGAAGAATAATATAAAATTTGGAACTAGCAAGTTGGGTACTTCATTTGTGATTATCACTATGCAATGTGCCCTATCAAATCATACAATATCATTTCTATAACCTATATCGTGATCAACAAATATGATAAATACTGGAAAACATTTTCATGAAAATATTGGACAATATTAAAATCAATCATAAATGCTTTCTTTGTGAACATATATATTACTAATTAATGTGTATATCTGTTGTATACAAATATTATGAATATTAGCAACATAAACAAAATTCATAATAATTAAATACTCGGCCAACGGGCCGGGCCCGATGTTAGTTAATAGTTAAGGGAGAAATAACCAAAACTGTGGAGGGGTAAAGAGGGTTACTATTTGCCGCCCGTGTTATTACTATTTGCCGCCCGTGTATTAAGTTAAAATGACTTTTTTGCCCCTATCAACACTCCTTCCATCACCCTCACACTATCACCATACCACCATCGTCGGCAGACCACCACCGCCGACCGATCATCACCGCCGTTAAACCACCATCGCCGGAGCCATCGAATGAGACCACCTCCGCCGCCGTTTGACCGCCGCGCCGCTGCCAGACCACTACACCTGCCGCCGCCAGACCACCACCTGCTGCCGTTTAATTAATTACTTTACTTTAGCTGATCCACCTAATTTAGAAAATGGAATTAGACGTTGCTTTCCTTTCTTTATGTATATTAGAATTTTATTGTGTTATAATTGAGGAAATTTCTGATTGTTAATTAGGGAATTTAAACGTGGGTTATTGCCTTATTTTAGAAGAAGTGTGTTCGGCACTTAACTAGAGAAAAAAAAAAGAAATAAAATTAGACGTTGTTTAATTAGGAAAATATTATTAGAAATTGGTTAATTAGGGAAATTTTGTTATTTTATAATATTTAATACAATCAGACGTTTACCATTAGATTAATAGAGGGAATCAACATTCTCGTCATAAATCTTGGGTGAAATAAGGAAAATAGGAATGGAAATTAATAATTTATAATTTCAAATCCTAATTATGGTATTTTACAATTATTTAATCACTAAATAAATAATATTTCAAAATCGATTTTTGAAAAAAAAAGTTGTTACCGTCCGACATCGGGTTTCGGACGCCGTCCGACGACGGGTATTGGGCGAGGTCCGACGACGGATTTCAGACGCCGTCCGACGGGTTTCGGACGAGGTCCGACACCGGATTTCGGACGCCGTCCGCTGTCAGGTTTCGGACGAGGTCTGACAATGAATTTCAGACGTCGTACGACGTCTGGTTTCGGATGCCGTCCGAACTCCAGCATCGGACCGCGGCTTCTGGTCTAAACTGGAGCTTCTACCTTCTCCCTCCCCTTCCTGTTATTGTTTTTCGTCTATGTTGTGCTTGGGTTTGAAGAAGACGATGATGATGGTTAACGCCGAGCCGACGCCAAGGATATGGGAACGACGAAGACGATGATTCGACGACGAACAGAGAATGAAGATGGGGGATTCGATCACAGGCAGAAGATAAAGACGATCAGAAGGCTAGCGAGCTAAGAGATAAATCGTTGTGGTAGGGTGGTTTGCAGTCGGGGACGTACTTCGCCGGCGTGAAGGAGGTAAGATTCGGCGGCTGTAAGGTGGTTTGTGGGGATAGGGTTTCCAAAGTGCAAAGTGTAAAAGGGTAAAAATGTAATTTTTGATAAAATATGGGCGGCAAATAGTAAATTTACGGGCGGTAAATAGCAGTTCAGGGGGGTAAACTAGACGGGCAGTGTAAACGGTCACACGACTATGTAAAGTTTCCAGGAAGTTTAGATGGCCAAACAATGAAATGTACGGCCGTGTAACTCAAGGGCATGTCAGGCCTTGTGTATCCTATTTTTTCCGAAAATCCTGTGTTTTCTTCGAACCATTGGGTAACTTTAACCCGAATATGATTATATAAACTTCCTATGTGTAACATATCACTGAATGGCTTGTTAATTGTGTAATTAACAGAAAAAATACCAGTCGGGGAGTCTTCAAAGGGCAAGGGAATTGGCGAGTCATGACTGAAAATGGTGAGCAGATTCTAAACCTAAATTTATATCAAATGTGGTATTTGGGTCATGAAATGACCCAAGTACATATGGTAAATATAAAGGTATTTGGGTCATGGAGCAGCCCGAGTATAAAGCATGAATATTGAATGAATGAGTATTGTATTTGATATGAATTGAATGGCTATGATATGATAATTAATTTATCATTGTAATGATGAATATATAATGATAATTGTATGATGAATATGAATGACTACTTGAGTGGCCAAAGTGATTGATCATGTGTTTATGTTAATATATGGTATTGATGTGGAAAAATGGTATAGCCTAAGAGCTTAAATAAATTAAGGCGATGAAGTAATGACACCTATTGGTATAAGGATATTGATATAATTGAAGTGATGCATGATGAATGGTTATGAATGAAAATATGATGTGTTATATGAAACGATAAATGTGATAAATTATAGTTATGTGAATGATAGGATGTGATTATGGATGACGGATGTGAGGCATGAAGAGCCTCTTTGTTGATGACTATTATGATGCATGGTTTAAAAGGAAAGAGAAATAGGAGGAGTGTCATATTTATGATGATTACAATGGTGATTCTCTTGACATTGATGAATATGATGGTGATAAAGGTGATGTTAATAAATTGAGAAGATGTGTATGATTGTGGGAATGATGATGAGTATGGTAATGATGCTTGATGATTATGATAATGATGATGTAGATGATGTGTTGTGAAGTGAAGTGCATTCTTGTGTGATTATATTTGTTGTGTACATTTCCTTACCCCACGCCAAGTCATGCACTGGGAGTAGATATTGATGATGTGACAAGTCTTTAGTAAGGACTTGAGTGTATGATTGGCTTAAGGTCAATTGGCTTAGGTCGGTGGTGAGGGAGGAGCCTAGGAATCGTGGAGGAGGTTGAGGAGGAGGAGGCGGGGAAAGAAGTTCGGTAGTGCATGACTAGTCGGAGGGGAATTGTGATGTGATGTATCCTATATTGTGTGGTTGAACTGTGATGTGTCGCATGCTGCACGGTGTGTGTTTGATTTTCTGGGAGTAATTGTTTGTGTATGTGTTGGTGATTGATGAATGGTAATATGTGAAATGTGTGCTACATGATGTGACTGATACCGTATCTTAACTTTTATTATGGTCGTTGTGGAGCAAGTTTTTGCCACGTAGGACAACGAAAGCTCCACAATTTTTCATGTTATTTTGTCAGTTTTAACAGTTTAAGTTATTAGTTACATTAAAATAAAACTAAATAAACATGCATATCAATCATCATCACCAAGATTTGAACCTATGACCTATGAGGTCAAACTATCATCATTTCAAATGTTCAACCACCAGGATAAAGTATATTTAATGCTATTAGCCACAACAAACATGTATATCAATCATCATAACTATGATTTAATCATGCAACCTAGAAGGTCAAACTATAATCATTTTAATTTTTTAACCAATAGAATAAAATATCTTTCATACAATTAATCACAACTATTTTTTAACCAATAGTTGTCACGGTTACAATTGTGTATTCTATTTTTTAGCATTGATAAGAAAATCATTAACATCTACAAATAAATTATTTTTAGTTTATAATATGTTTCATAATTGTTTATAATTTCGTAATAATAATTAAAAAATCCAAAAAACATAAATTTAGTTGGTACACAATTATAAACTTTTACATAATTTGACATGTGATTTTCTTTTAAAATTGACAAATGAAAAGTAAATATAATCTTCTTCCGCTTTCTAGAACACGAAGAATTTAACATTTTGTTTGTACGAACTACTATAAATATGTGAACCAATGTAATTATGTTGTAATTTGATAGAAAATACGTACTATAAATATCTTAAATATATCTACATAGTTCATTCATATGCTACAGTGATATATACACAAAATTTTATGTGTTTAAGAATATCACTAGACACCAATGGTCACCAAAATTTTTGTATATTTTTCAATACCGAATTATTGTCATATGATTTAAATATGTTTGTAACCAATTGGTGAAAGACGTTATAAAAAAAGTCATGTACACATACATAATGCATTTGTCATTTTTAGGATTGAATTTGACATTTCTTGCATATTAAAATGATATCATTATCTTTTCTTTTATGTTATTCCAACTTCTTTCTCTTTTCATTTTTCGTATGTCATTAAATATTCTTCCACGCACAATTATAAAACACATTGTCTTTACTTTTTTCCTAATGTAATTATAATTCATTTCTTTTCTCTTTTTATTGTTTACAAATCTTGCTTGACTTAGGTGTTATTCTCTTTTCTTTTATGTTATTCTAACTTCTTTCTCTTTTCATTTTTCGTACGTCATTAAATATTCTTCCACGCACAATTATAAAACACATTGTCTTTACTTTTTTCCTAATGTAATTATAATTCATTTCTTTTCTCTTTTTATTGTTTGACATAAGTTCCTTTCATTTTCCTAAATGAGTGTAGATGTGCAACTTTGAGTCATATCCAGATGAATAACACCTAAGTCAAGCAAGATTTGTAAACGAATCTTAAACTATTGGATATATGATGGTTGATATGTAAATAACTATTTTAATCCTTACTTAATGTGACACCCTAATACATATATTACTATTACTATTTTTAGTAACCAGTTATACTCGCCGGATAACCTTACTCATAAGATAATGATTTATATATTTTACGTTACCTTTAAGATTATAGTTCAAAATGACTTATTGTCCCTCTCATTGACCATGGCAAAACATGGAGTATTCAGTTTCCCGTCACCCACTTCTCAAGTCTTACTTGCTTAACTTAACTATCAAGATACATCCGATATGATATATCTTATTTAGTCAAATAAACATCAATTCATCACCACATGCCATATCACATTCATCATCTCAAACTCAAAGAATTCATACTTCACAACATAAGGACCATCACCCAGTCTCTTGATAACTCACTGTTTAAACATGTATGCATCAAATATCACATCATACTGGCATTACCATGTAACCCCTGTCCCAACATAGCAAAACATCATATCATCCAATCTTAAATCATTGTATAAAACACGATAGAAAACCATCATCATCGACATGCACATTTCATATATCACATCATAGAAAGTCATCACTTAACCACATCATAAGTAATATTTATACAATGATTCAATGACATGCATGGTTAGGTTCATTGCATTTTACATCTTAATTTGCCAAGTCATACACTCCTCGGGTAGTATAGTAGATTGCATGCATACCACCACAGATCGTACCTAGACTGGTGTCCTATAAATCCATTGCGGATCATACCCTAACCGATGTCATGTATACTAGGGTGGGACGTACTCGGACCGGTGTCCTGTAAAACCAACGCAGGATCATATCAGATGTCCTGTAAATTAAGTTACTATACTGACTGCACAACAAAGCACCTTTATGTTTGTATTAAGTTATCACACAATTCCAGTTACAGTTAGTAACATATTAAGTATTGGAGGATAATGTGAAGTGAAGACAAAGTGTCTCCATAACTAACATTGGCTTTGATATAATTCGTACAATGTTGAAGGTAAGAAGCATAGTAGAATAGTTTGGTTGTACTTTGATATAATGGTGAAAAAGACTAGCATACACTCGAGGTGTAATATGCACATTCATTCATACCTATTAGTTGTATGTTAATATATTTTGACAAATAAGAATCGGTGGTTATTATTTTTCATTAAATGAATCGTACGATTTGGATTAGAGAATTAAAGACTGTGTTTCACCTATTAGAGAATATGGTATAACATCATATGCCAAACTCCGTTAATTCATGGTCTAAATACCAACTCTATAGGAGTACGGTAAGGTGGCGTGCACGAGGTTAAACCATGTACAACTTATGAAGTTGACAATTGTTGGTCAATCAAAGATCCGATGGTCATGAATAATATTTTCCAAGCAGTGATGAAGTTACAACGTTGTTTGACTTTATTGTTGATCATCATTAAAACCTAGAGTACAATCATAAATAAATATGAAAAGTAGGAATCTGATACCATTGGAAAAAATGACAAATAATAGAAGGAAAAGTACAAACAAATGAACTCGCCGCCCATCGGGCGGGCACAAAACTAGTAGTAAAGTAAAGGTGTTCTAGTACCGTGAAATGTTAGTGTTACTGGGTGGTGGTAGAGAGGTGTTATGAACACCTAGAGATGGTTCAACCATCGATTATTAATTGGACATTGAATGGTAAAAATTGGAACCATAAGCAACGAGAGCTAGAACTATATGACGTGTAACTAAAGGGTGTCATGCTAAATACCACTTATGTATTGTTGTTCATGTAGGTTTTACTCATCGAGCAACGACTCATCCTTAGTCAAATACTTTTCCTCAGATCTAGAGCAAATGCAAGAAGTAGTAGAGTAGAATAAGTGGCTTCAAGTTTTGATTCATGAGGTGGGCGGAAGACTGAACATGTTTCCACATGAGATCTACTATCAAATGGTTTTTCCTTTTTGTTCTTTGTTTTGTAAAAATTTTAATCGGGTCTGAAAATCATTTATATGGTTTATATATTTTATGTAAAAGCAAGTGTTCAGACAAGCTGTTACATTTTGTGGTATCAGAGCCGGTATATGATCCTGCGGATACCAATCGAGTTTTATACTAGAATTTTCACTAGATTTTAGAGTGGATTACTGAGTGACTATTGTTTTACATGTGGAATTCAGTCAAGGAGGAGGCGCCTCCCTGCCACCTCAAGGGCGGTCATCAGAACCCCGGGAATATTGAGTGTCGCCATCACGAGAGGGATCTCATAGGTCTGAGAATATTTTGATGAGTTCTATATGAAGCAGCATAAATTGGAACCATCAGCCATCGAGAGCTAGAAGTATATGGCATGTAACTAAAGGGTGTCATGCTAAATACCGCTTATGTTTAGTTGTTCATTTAGGTTTAAAATTTACTCATTGAGCAACGACTC